GGGGCGGGGGGGGGGGGGGGGGGGGGGGTTCCCCTGCCTCCGACAGGGTGCAACCCCCTCCTCCCCCCAGCACAGCTCATGGTCTGTCCCCCCACAGGGCCACAGGCCCCCTGGAGAGGCCACATGCCCCACTCCTGCTTGCTTCCCCAGCCCCCCCAGATTACAGTCCCACCTGGCCCCATCCCGCAACAACTCCTGCAGCCCCCACCTCCCATGGTGGCCCCACCTGGTCCCATCCCCTGCTTGCACCCCCAGCCCCACAAAAATCACTGCCCCACGCAGTCCCAGCATCCTGACACTTTTAAGCCCCACACTGTCACTGGGCACAGGGCAGCAGGGGGCAGTGGGGCCCAGCCCCTGGTGCCTGGCACCTGCATTGCCACTGCCCCATTGTGCAAGTGCGGCCAACGTCAGCAGGGCGCTGCACAGCTCTGCACGCTGTGCAGCTGGGGCCAGAGGCTGTCACCCAGCCCTGTGCTGCCCGGGGGGAGGGGGCTCTGCCACGAGGCCCCAGTGACCCTCACGGCAGCTGCTATTGCCAGTGAGTGAGGGCTATTTTTTGTTTTAATTTTTTTTGTTTTTTGTTTTTTTAAATTGCCAGGATGGTGGGTCCTGGCTCAGTGAGCAGGTGGGGCTGGCAGGGGTCCCCCCCATAGTCCCCTTGGCTGGCTATCAGAATGTCTCTGTGGAGGACCGAGCCTCCAGTTGCCTCCAGGCATAGTCAGGGACTGTGCTCTGCCCGGCTTTTTTCCACCCCCCCTGCCATTTTTTTTTTTACTCCTGGATATCCACGGGTCTAATTTTGCCCTCGTGCAGCAAATTTGCAGGGCAGGGAATGGGTTTTTTTTGTTCCTGCACATGCCTCTTGCAGCATCTCAAAGGGCTTTGAGACACTGCAGGACGCACATGCATGCTTGTGTGGATGTGTCCACTGAGTGTAAAGGAAAAGAACCATTTGGAGCAAATAAGATGACAATCAACTTTTCATTAAAGAATAATATACATGTGTTTTTAAGGTGGCAAACTTTAATGAGCTCCACCTATTTATTTATCCTGCACTCAGGGCAGTGGGGATTGTTTTATTTCAATCTATATATCTCTTAAAACACACACAGCTTGAACCTAGTGACTTAATCTGCTGTTAATGTGGGGGCCACATGGGCCCTTGGGATCCCTACAGTATCCACATGGAAGCTGGCTGATTGATGTTACTAGGAACACCAACCACCCCCATGGGCTCATACGGCTGAGTAATGGCAATGCCATAGCTCATAATGGATTTGCTGAACATTCACGAGGCTCTCACATGCACTGTCACTGGGCACTGTCACTGCACAACCTTTGCTTTTTGGATATATAAGGTAAGAGGGTAGAGCAGGTATTTCATAAACCTGAATGTGAGAACACTGGGCTTGCCATCAATGGGGGTACGATTCAAGAGCAACTCCATTAAATTGACTGGCATTACATGACTAAGTGAAGAATCAGACTTCATGTCCTGCTCATCAAGTGTCGGTAACTATTAGTGCATCTTTTTAAAGTCTGATCCAGTAACTATAGGTGCTTCTGACATGGCCTTTAAGAACTATTATCGTGTCAGTGCTAGGCAATGAGAGATCATGTCAGTGCACTCCAGAGCAACTGTGTGTGGAAAGTTTCCACAGCAGCAGGCTAGATTTCAACCCCTGAAATCCATGCACAAAAAGGAATTTTCACACTCAGATCTTCCCTCATTTCACACCTCAGTGTCTGCAGCATCTCTGCCATTGCCACACTCCTAGAATCCCACAGAGGCCCCAAGGATCTGTTGGAGGAGGATGCAGACCAAGACCCAAAGATGTGGATGGACACTGGCCTCCCTCCCACCCTCAGGACATTACACAAAAGGTGATAACACACTAGTGTAATCCTGCTTATACACGTTTTGGACTATGTGCTTTGGTATTAGAGCTCTGCCCTACTGCTGCGCTCTGGGATTTGCATGCTTTCATTTGGTGTGTCACTTAAAAAGGTTGTCACCCTGTTTTGTGCCTATGTCCTGATGCGCATCCTAAGAGAGTATACATAAGGGGTAAGTGGGTAGAAGGGAAGGGGGTGGGGGAGGGAAGTGGCAACAAATCTGTGTGTCACTGGCCATATCTGTATGTCTCTAGGTCTTCCTCCTAGATTCCTGCTATTGGAAGATGCACAGAGGCTGTAGAAAACAACTGTGTGGGGGGGACCAAAAAGTAGAAAGGGCGGGGGGGGGGGGGGGGGCAGAAAGGGGGGGGGGGGCCCGGGACAGAAGGGGTGGCAATGGGAGCAGCAGGAACCCAAGGGGCAGGTAAGGCAGTTGAGAAAGAAAGCTTCAGGGCTGTGACTGAGAAGAGTCAAGGAAAACTCCTGACCGGAGTCATCCTTTAAAATGGCATTCTCACTGAGGCTGGCTAACCATAACTAGTAAACGACAACTGACAACTAAAGCTGTCTCACTAGTGAGTCTCAGAGCTGAAATCCTAGAGGGGATGCACTCAGCCTCGACCCTCAGCTGAGCCCCCACTGGCGCTCCCAGAACCACAAAACAGAGGCCACCATGGGAGGCACGGGACCCCACTTGACAACCCCTAGAGGCAGAAGACTTCGGTGCCAACCCCAGCTGGCGCTTTCAAAGCAGTGGCAGGGGTGGCTGTGATCCCAAAGAGCAGCAACCCTGAGCAGTGCTTACCCTGTTCCAGGTAGTGGGGACACAAGCATCACTCCTTAAAATAGCAACAGCTTCTGCAACCCCAAGCAATTCTCCCTAAACTGGGGTAGTGCCAGCAAACCTGGGGGAAGCCCCAGGCAGCCAGTGTCAGGATCTCCAGCCACCAGTCCAAGGAGGGGGTTAGAAAAGAACAGGATTCATATCTTCACCTCCCCCTGACTCCAGACTGGGCCAAGTAGAAGCCCCAAGATGGAGTCCCCAACTGTGATGGAGGAATGCTCATGAAAATTTTTTTGTTTTTAGAGGTGCACAGACATAAAATCGGTCACATATCAGATTGGCACCGATAAAAGGAAAATAAACATTATTGGCAAGTGGGTTTTTTTGGCTGGTATAGCGGATAATCTCTCTGATAAATGCCATCAGCATGCACGCAGCTGCACACATGCACGTGGTCAAGAACGCATGGTGAATGCCATGGTGAGGGAGGGAGTGGGGCGGGGGCAGCCACGGCCCAGCCAAGCTGGTGAATGTGACCCTGGGAGTAAGATGAAGGCACGGGAGGCCAATGGGGGGGGGCATCAGAAGCAGGGGGCAGCTCCCCACCACTGCATGCACCCTTGGTGGAGGCATGGGGGTCATGTGCCCCCCTGGGATGTGTGCATGGGGTGAGGGTGGGCTGTGCCAGCCTCTTCTCAGTGGTGGGGCTGGGCTGGGGCTACACTCAGGGAGGGTGGTAGTGGTGCTGGGAGGGACATCTACAGGGGATTTTGGGGTGTCTAGAGGCCACCCCGTTTCTACCCTTCCCAGTGCCACTGCCTGCCCCACCCCATCCCGGCCCAGCTCCCAAGCCTGCCCTCACCCTGCACACACACACAAAAAAAAAAAAATCGGGGGGGGGGAAAGAGAACAACACATGACAACCAAACCTACATGCCCCCCCATGCTTCCCCCAGGGGTGCGCACAGCAGCGGGGACCCGCTACCCCCCCACCCCGTGCCCCCAGATGACCTGCTCATGCCTCCATCCTGCTCTCAAGGGCACATTCACTGCCCTGCCCCAACCCACTCCCCTCTTCACTGGGGTAGCCTCAATCTGCCCACTCCCATGCCCCTCCCTGCCACAGACAGGAGGCTGCTCTCCAAGCTACCAAGCTGCATTCCTGTAAAATCAGCTATCGGATTGGTATTGGCCGATATGGCTCGTTAATAATCAGCCATCAGTATCACCCAACAAAATCTTTAAAAATCGGTGCACCCCTAATGGTTTTATTTAGAAGGAAACAAGATTTCCTTCTTGATGAAATTGAAATTTCATCACAAAATTTTTTCCAAGAACATTTAAAAAGATAGTAAGAAACCCTCAGAGCTAAAAGAAAATCCCCACCCTTCACCCTGAAATACTACAAAGCATTAAATTCACACTGGAAGAATCTACAGAAGATGCTACTGTGCAGTGGTTACTGCACATTTTAGTACTTGCATAATCAAGTACTAAATAAATGTGCAGTAACCAGAGTTGCTGTTCAGTAGCACTGGCTAACATTTTTTAGCACTACTACACAGTACTATTCAGCTACTGTGCAGTCAGTGTCTTGTGTAGATGCAACTTCCTTATAAAATAGCAAGTTTCTAACTTATGATCCGAGACTTCCTACAAGGAGGAGCAATATAGGTCTTGTGTTCCCTACTGCTAAGATATCCCCCTTCTCTTCCTCTCTCAGATAAGCACTAGTGGACCTTACAAATACACCAGGTTACAATCTGCACAGGGAATATGGTTCATTTCCTCTCTCCTCCCCAGTTAATACAAAGATATGGGACAGGATTAGCACCCTCCACTGGAAGGGAATTACCAAGGGATGCTAACACCATGGAGTGAACAGCCACATGTAGATATTCTTCATGAATAATTCATACATATTAGCCTCATTATGCAAATGAATTAAAAGCTGAAGCATATGTTTTCCTGACATGTTCTACGATGGATGCAATACAGCTCTAAGTGGAGAGGAAGGGTGCAAGGGAGAACAACAGGGAGGGGCTGACAGTGGAAAAGGCTTGCACAGACCCTTTCAAAAGATGGCTAGAAAGGCCCCCTCCTCTAATCAAACTGCTGCAAGGACATTCAAGTGTTCTTGCCTGATAATGCAACTTGGCTTTGCACTCATTACTGAGTGAAGTGCTGAGGCTGCTGAACAGCCAGGGCAGATTAAAATAAACCCAAGCAGTTTAGAACTGGAATGTGTTTATCTGGCATCGCACACTTCTTATCAAACTAGAGGAGCAGAAGAGGGCAAAGCAGTAGTGTTCAGAGGCAGACTGAGTGTGTTGGGTATAGCTGACAGTAAGTCCAAGCTCAAGAAGAAGATAATGCATGAGCCCTTCCGGCAGGGCATAGAAATTGGGGGGGGGGTGTTGTTGGTTGGCATTATCTCGTTGGGATGCACAGACCCTATCCTGGGCAAGGAACCCAACACTCCTACTACATGGACAGCAGAGCTAACACACACTGGAGCACCCCCCCCAGTATTTTAACTTCAACAGAAATTTCCCTTATAGGCTCTGGCCAACGCAATCCCTAGAACTCTTCCTAGAACCCACCCTGATGCATCCTGGATGGACTCCTGCTTTTAAGGTAGGCAAGACTGTCCTCTCTCCTTATCAGAATTTAATTTAAAACATGGTCCTGCACTAGACTGGGACAATACAACTATTCCCAGCTCTGCCACTCATCCAAGGTAAGTTCTTGATTTCCTCTGTGCCTTGTTGCTCCTCCTTTTGTCTGTTTAGTCCAGTGGTTCTCAACCTTTTTGGCCCAAGGTACCTTTCAGAAAATGCTAGCTTTTAGCTTTCACCCATTTTTTGACTATGGAAAAATACTTATTTTGCAAAGAAGTCAGAGAGACCACAACAGGTTGGAATGTTTTTGACACTCTGGATTTGAAATCCAGAAGTCCCAGGGTTTATTTTGTGAATCATGTGTAGGTGTTTATACACTCAGTGTTAATATTGTATGACACCCTGTGGCACCCCTGAAAGGGATTGCAGGGCATTCTGGGTGAAAATCAGAAGTCTACTCTGCTTAGACTGCAAGCCTTTGGGTCTGGGACTGTCTCTCCATAAGTATTTGCATCTAGCAAAATGGCATCTCAATTTGTATTAATGTAATACCATTCCTAGATTCATATTTACAAATACTATCTGAGCCCCTGAACAACTGGATACAACTCTGGTCATTCTTTTAAAGTTAAGTATATTTAAAGCAAACCAAAGAAATTCTCAATCATTCCCAGGGATAGCGCAAGGCCTGTTCCATAACACCTTGCCCCAGGCAGATCACCATTAAGTCTCATGAATAGGAAACCCAGTATTTGACTACATAGAATACAATGCAGTGCTGGTGGTTACCTGTATGATTAAAAGACTTGAACACAAAAACGCCAGCAGCTCCCTTTACAAAGACTTTTTGTTTTAAACCAGCTGTCATCATCATTTAAACAAGAGAAAAAAAGTTCCTTGCTCCTTATCAATGATCTAATGGGGCTGCAATGACACAGCAGCGTGAAAAATCAGAAGATTGCAGAGACACAGTGAGGACATGGGTGGAAGCTGCAGTAGCACAGTAGGTTAATGTATGCCTTTCAGCTCTCTATGCCCAAGTCCAATAATATCAAGGGCAAACAACAAATCTCAGCACAAGATGTGGCCAGGACTGGAAGAGGCAAAAAGGTCAGGGATGAGCAATAGCAGTAGAGTGCAGGTAACTGGAATTTAAACAGCAGGTGGTGCTGTAAATCAGGTAACAGAGGAAGCTTGCACAGTCCCTCATCACACTGCCCCAAGACAGTGAGCACAGTCCTTCCCCAGAAGGAACCACCTGTAGCATCTCCTAGCAAGCCGAGGGGCCAAGCTGCTCACAGAGAGCTGAATGCAGAGAGAAAAATAAAAAGCAAAGGTAGCAATGCAGTGTAGTGTAATAAACAGCCACTTAAGTAAACTGACATCTCATTTTAAAGGAGATACTTGCATATTGGCACACTCAAAGTCTTTAGTGGAGACAGGCTCCCCTGCAGGGGACAGCAACCACCATGCAATTCCCCAGAGAGAGGGGAAGCCCTGGATTTGTGCTCTGCCCCAGCTCAGTCCCAGTGCCTCTGTCCCTTCCTTGATGCTGAAGCAACACCTGTTGAGGAGGATCAATTGTCAACTGTCTGGAGGCTGTCTGGCTGCTAAGCTCTGCCAACAAGCTGCTCACCGCTCCCAGCTGATGGCTCAGCTTCTTGGGCCATCTGGATCTTTATGGACTGGGTGTTTCCTCATCACCATTAGAAGAAAGTGTTGATACTATCCATCTCCAGCAAACTGGCACCAGGTAATAAGGGTACAAGACCATGCCAACCACCAATACTAGACAAATATGAATGACAAGGAGGTAGGGTGGGAGAGAAAACTGCCCTCTGGATTTGAGAGTGGATCAGGGGGGAGAAAGAAAATGGGTTCTCAGCATGCAAGTATCCCTATAATGGCATTAGACCTGCTTACAGTTACTATTATTTCCAGTTCCAAAAAAAGAAGAAACCTGTTGGGGGGACACTTCACTCCCAACCCAGTTCCCTGGCACTGCCAGTGCCCCTCAGTCCCAACCCACAGTCCATCCCCACCCCGGACATCGGTTCAGATTTCAAAAACCCACCTGGATGGAGATTGAAGGACCCAAAAAGAGGATGCGTCTATGAAAACCCAACATATGGTAACCCTAGACCTGCTGCAGCAGCAGGTACTATGACCAGCAATGGAAAGCAAGCAAAGAAATCCCAGCAATACAGGAATGAAGATCTCTGCAGAGTTTTCTCATCCACTTCTGAGGACTTCAGCTTCTCTTAGATGTTGCGGCAACTAGACAAGCTCAGATAAAAAGATTCAGAGAATGGGGAGAAGGGCAGGTAACACTATGCTTTTTCCTTCTTTTTGGAAAATGGGTTCAAATGCAGTAAAGGTAACAAATTAAAGGAGTGCCATGGTCTTAGCCCAGATAGCCATCAGGATCACAAGAAATCAAACATTGCATAGTTTGAAGCTGCTCAGAAAAGAGAGCTACAAAACAGTAAAGTGGTAATGCTTTCTGACTTTGAAGATTATTGCCAGAGCTGCAGAGGGTCCTATGAGAGGAATGGCAGGAGGATTCAGGCACAGTGCATAGAGACTGCTTGCAGTGTGCCATTAGGTCAAATGCAGACCTGCCTGTGCACTTAGTCCTGACTGGTAGTACCTGCTACTATTCCATTGCTGGCTCCTTCCTACACAACAGGTCTGCCAATGTAACTCCTTCCTGCTATTGTAATGTTCAGTCTCTTGAGCTTACGTTCGAGTGCAACAAATCTGGGTGCATCTACATGTGCAATTAGGGCAAATAAACAAACACCAGTGCAGTTCGTTTTGGAGTTTATTTCTCCAGGGCACAGCATTTACATGTGCACCGGGGACCGCAGAAGTTTGAGCCAGTGCAGAGCAGCCCGGGAGGTCAGCCCTGGGCTCTGGGTTGTGGCAGCAGGGCTCAGCTGGGGCACAAAGGTGGTAGAGTGTGGGGCTAGCCAGCAGGCAGCCCTCACACTGTAGCACCCTTGTGCCCCAGCCACTGTCTACATGTACATTGCGGCCGTGTAAATTACTCCACCATAGGATACTGTTCAGGATGAATACTACTATCCTATGGTGGAGTTAATTTACTGAGCCCTGATATGGGCGCATGTATAGACAGTGACACTTTACTTAAGTAAGGCACACATGTAGATGCACACCTCTACAGTGGTTTGACTAAGGAAAATAGCAGCCTAGAATGGGAAACACAAAATTTTAGTCACTGCCGACTAGGGTCAGTAATTTAAAAATTGTGTTAAAACATGGGAAGAGTCAGAATGTTAGGGAAGTGGTAGCACAAATATTAATATTACACTATTTGTCCTGCAAAGTGATGAGAATGCTGCTGGGACCTTAGGAGTAGGGAGGAAGAAGGAGAGCCGCTAATGGTGTGCCAAGAAGGAAACTGTAGGGCACGTTCCGAGCAACATACACCTTATATAAGGCTGTATTTTAAAACTAGGGGTGGTCAACCTGAAGCATGTGTGCCGCAAGTGGCACAGGTAGGCTTTGCATACAGCATGTGGCAAACTGGGGAAGAGATGGGCAGCACAGCAGAAAATACAGCAGGGATCAGAAAACAGAGCAGCAGATAGAGCAGGGAGCAGAGGGGAAGAAGCAGAAAGCAGAGCAGTAGATCAGGTAGCAGAAGGGGATGGAGCAGCATTTGGGGAGTGTGCAGAGCTAATTTGTGACATCTGCCAAAGAGGCTGATGCCAAATGTTTTAAACCATTGACATAACATTTGAAAACCCCATGTCTTCTACAACTGACAGATGAAGGGGCCTTGCAAGTTACCCCCAATACCTCCAAAAGCCTTTCACACTGCCAAGAAAAAGAAAATATATAAAAAACAAAGATGCAATTTTAAACAAGCATAGAAAATTGTTCTAGCAGCAAAGCCATCAGAGACAACTGTTCATGGAACAAGGAGATATGACATTTAGTATCCCAGCTCCAAGAAATGACTTAAGAGTTAAAATAAAAACCATTCTTGAGCAGGTAGCACTCCAGCAGGATAAAATATTCAGTGCCATAGTGTTCCTGGACACCATATTTCTGACAATAAATTTCATGCCTCATATGCCACAACAGTTATGAGATTTCAGCCGACAACCAGAGAGTGGGCCCACATCCTTTCAAAGCAACCCAAAAAAAAATCCTGGCAAATATGTATTTTTATTATTGTTATTTACCGGTATGTCATTGCTTATAGTCTGGCCTGAATTGAAAAGGGAAGATCCATTACTGGAGCAGCAGCTTCCCCACCACTCACTCCTTTTCATAAACTGGTGAGAAATGGCAGCAGGACCCAGCCCATACACTGACAGGGGCTTTTTGATTTAACTGGCACCTTATATCTGTACCTCCAAGAATGGTTTTCATCCTCTCTAACAACCCACCACACCGGATTTGTCATAAGAAACTAGGGACTCAACCCTCAACATTCACATATGGCTAGTATCAAAGGGTCTCATTCTGCAAGAAGCTGCACAGACCCTTAAAACAGTTTATTATTCCAAGAACTTGCAGTCTAATATGGAAAACCCACAAGTACTGCTTGTGTTAGTTTCTTTGTCCTGCGCCATGGACAACTCTCTCACAAATGGAGAGAGGGGACCAATGTAGAAATAAGAAAAACATGTTACCTTATATTCATTTTATGCTTTAATGCATGCCAGATGCATCTGACAGTCCACGTAACACTTGCCTTTTGCTTCCAGTCAAACTCAGTTATGGTATCAGAGTGCAATCTTAGAAACAGCTGCCATGCTGCACTCCAGACCTGCCTGTATTTGACTGGTAACTCAGGGTGCTCCCTGAGAATGTGGCTGATAAAGCTCTTTGGGGATGAATGGTACTATATACGCCAAGATTGGAGGTCAATTAAATTAAGCTGATTTGCACCAGCTAGAGTTCCAATCTCTAAAAAGGAAGATATCATTCATTTTAAAATTTAACTTAAAAAAAATTCCATCCTTGAGAACTGGTCCCCCA